ATATATAAGCAAGGGAGCAGTAAAAGTTGTCCGTCTGTTGTCAGTCTGTCCATCGTCACACGTCTGTCATTAAGCTATTCTTGTTATCGCTATTTCCCAGGAAGTAACAGAGGGATCTCTCTCAAATTGTATATGTAGGTTCCCCTTGGTCCCTAGTTGTGCAAATTTGCTTTTGAGATTGATCAGATAAACAAAATGGCCGACAGGTCACCATGTTGGATTGTGACATTGAAGGTTTGTTATCGCTATTTCTCAGGAAGTATCAGAGGGGTATTTCTCAAGTTTGATATGCAGGTTTCCCTTGGTCCCTTGTTCTGCAGGTTTACTTTTGAGACTGATCAGATAAACAAAATGGCGGAAAGGCAGCCGTCTTGGATTTTGCCAGTAAATGTTTGTTATCGCTATTTCTCAATTAGTATTGGAGAGATCTTTCTCAAATTTAACAAGTAGGTTCCCCTTGGTCTGTAGTTGTGCATATTTAATTTTAGAATGATCACATAAACTAAATGGTCGACAGGTAGTCATCTTGGATTTTGACAGTAAGTGTTTGTAATAGATATTTTTCAATAAGAATTGGAGAGATCTTTCTCAAATTTAACATGTAGGTTCCCCTTGGTCTGTTGTTGTGCATGTTCAATTTTTAGAATGATCAGATGAACAAAATGGCCGACATGCAGCCATCTTGGATTTTTACAGTGAAGGTTTGTTATCGCTATTTCTTAGGAAGCACTGGAAGGATCTTTCTCAAATTTTATGTGTAGGTTCCCCTTTGTCCCTAGTTGTGCATGTTTACTCTTGATAGTGATCAGATTAACAAAATGAATGACAGGCAGCCATCTTGAATTTTGACAGTGAATGTTTGTAGTAGCTATTTCTTAATAAGGACTGGAGAGATCTTTCTCAAATTTGACATGTATGTTACCCTTGGTATGTAGTTGTGCATGTTTTCTTATGAGACTGATCAGATAAACAAATCTTTGATTTTGACAGTTAAGGTTAGTTAGTGCTATTTAGCAGGAAGTACTGCAGGGTTCTTTATCACATTCTAGATGCAGGTTTCCCACTGTCCTTTATTGTTCATGTTTACTTTTGACCAGCGGCCATCTTCGATATTTGACATTTAGTGCTATTTCTCAGGAAAAGCTTGAAGGATCTTTCTCAAATTTGATATGTAGGTTCCTCTTGATCCCTCGTTGTGCATGTTATATTTTGAGACTTATCATAAAAACAAAATGGATTAAAAGAAGAACTAAACAGATCTTTCTCATATTGCAATGATCGATTCTATTTCTTTCACATTAAGTACTGTACTAATAAATATGTGAAATGACAAACTCACTTTGAAGGTTGGCTTTCATACACATTAGTATTAAGTTTAGATCAAAAGTTACCTCAAGGTGCATTTACTGTTAATAACATGACTCGATATAACATATTAGAGAAAAGAAGAGAAAGATCGAACTGACAAAGAACTAATGAAGATGTTGGGCGCCAAAATCCCTCTGGGATCTCTTGTATTGAAATATACCCTATTCTCTATCCTCGATATCCAGGGGTTACGCTCACTTTCGCTCTCTGCACTGTAGAGAGCGAAAGTGAGCGAAACCCCTGGAGTATTGAGGATGTTTATTCATCTGAATGAACTGCTTAGTGAGTGACTTGTTGAAGATAAATTATGGTCAACATTTCTACCTGTTCTACCTGTGACATTTTAGTTTCTACTTTGATTTCTGAAATATTTCGTAAATTAGGTCTTTGATCATTGGTGACCTGCATACTTTCCTGCATTTGTCGTGAAACTGTGCTGATGACGAGTGCCACACATTGTGCTGGAATATTGGTTCCTTTTTTAGACTTCTTGTTTTGCCTTCATTTATTTTAGAGAGGTCCATAATAGTTTCCCGTATGTTTTATGTACTTGTATCTTGATGACCTGGTACATTTTTCACAGAGAACAGGATTTAACTGATTAACAAAAAACCTTAACATCTTATCTTTAAAAACTATTCAAACAGAATGTTTGGGACCACAAGGAGGTCGAAATTTCTGTCCCTTAAAATTCTGTTTTATCAATTTGAAGAAAGCCAGAGAATGACCCTGGAATTCTGTCACGAAGTAGAGCCAATTTAGTAGTCCTCTGTCGCCACCCCTCCTCATTTCAATGTCAAAATTGGAATTAGTGGCTAAAGGTCAAGAACACGCCATGAGATCAAATTTTTATGCAGGTCTTTATTATGAAAAACAAAAATTATCTGATGAAAACATTTCGTAAAATAAAGTAATGTCATGATCAAAGTTGCACTATATTTCTAGTGATTTGAGATGACTTGAGGTGTTGTCTGATGAATAATTGCATGTTGTGATGATGTTTTAATCAGTGTGTGCATGACTTATAGACAGTATTTGATGTATCACATGTGAAATATGTTGATGCGCATTTTGAGCTAGAACGTAATTTGTTATGTGACATTTTATCAGTGTGGAAATGATTGGTAATCATCTGTTTGATGGTCTTTAAGGAACTTATGAGCAAAAGTTTTATAAAACTTTTCTTTAGGGTATGATCAAACAAACCTAAGCATGATATAATCGATAATAAATGTATGAGAGCAAGTGTATGGACACGTAAACAAAGTGTGAGATCATTGATAGCACAAGTGTATGAACACATAAACGGAAGTGTGAAATTATTGATCACAAATTGTGAACACATAAGATAAACTGTGAAATTATTGATCACACAATTGTATAAACACATAAATCAATCTGTGGGATTATTGATCACAATTGTATCGGCAGATACAAATGAGAGATCATTGATCACATGTGTATGAGCAGGTATTCCAAGTTGAGATTATGAAATATGGATTTCTCGTGTAAAACGTCTCATAACTAAGCGTTGAAGACAACAATTTAAAAGCAATTAAGTTGATGGATAATTCTTTTCTCCTGCCGCAATTCATTAACTCACACAAATTATAATATTGTCTTGGTTAAGGATGTACCCTTCTGAGGTTTCAATCACGTTCAAGTCTCGTTTTGATCTGGTGTAATGGGTTTTTGTAATATTTAACAACTTACATTATGATCAAGTTTATTAGCAAACACGCATCTGAAAAATATGTCTAAAAACTAGATGTCTGTTGTTTGTAGAACTTTTTTTACAAGAATTTAAAAAATTACCAATTCGGCGGCCATTTTGAAAATGTGTATTATTGTGTAAATCTTGTGCTTCAAAAAAGGCCAAAATTTCACCTTTTTTGGCACTAGATTGATCACTTAAATTGTCATTGTGTCGCCATTTTTAATTGTAGCAGGTTCATTTTTGCTGTACAACTTTATAATGTTCAATATGATAAAAAATAATGTGCAACAAACTGGAAAATTATACATTATTGATATTTTTTTTACGTATTTAGTGTAACTGAAGCACTTTTGATTTTTGACCCCGAAAAAAGTAAAAAAAATAACACAAATGATAATGGGACAAAAAAAGAAGCACACTGACCCCCCCATTTTTGTAGATGTTTTAGAAAGAGAAACACGTTTTCATTTAATTCATTAAATATTAAACAAAAGTTAAATACCAGAACTTTTTATATCAAGCGTTTAATCTGTAAAAAATAGGGGGTAGGTGTAACTAAAATCGGCCTTTTGAGTTAAAACAATAAGATTAAGAAATTTTACTTCCATAATTTAAAAGAAAATAATATTTTCATCAATTCTACAAACATTTATACATATCTGATAACACACTTGGAAGAAATTGCATGAATTTGTTCTGCAAGTGGTCAAAACCCAAAAAATCACCTAAAATCACATGTTGTGGTAAATTGGTATCTTTGACCGATCATAGTACAAAAACGAGCACACGGACATATGTTTTTTTTTTTTTGCATTTTCTACTATGCCATTTACTCCTTTTTCCAAAAATCCATATAAGAAAAAAGTTTAATACAGGAAACTTTTGACTTCTCAGAGGTGTACAACCTTAAATGACGAGTACTTGAAAGCATGTCATTGTCATTACCAGTGATGGCGATATAAACCTACCGTTGATTGTGTGTTACAATCCTTGGCGTAATCGCACGTTGTAGAGCATGCCTTTTAACGTTATACGATAAGCTCTTGGCGTGTTTGAAGATAAAGGAAATATTTGTTAAAGACTTTCTTATCAGTGTTGCATGCAATGGTGACCGTTTGGACATAAATTGCATTTCAACGTGTCATCATATCTGGTAATATCGGTGCGACGTATAACAGGGCTCTGACAATAGTAGTACAACACTGCGGGATGCACACTGTTTTCCGTTGCAAACAAAGTCACGTTCCAGCTGTTATAGTTCTGGCAAAAAATGTGTCAAATTGTGATTTAGATCCTTTCAGAATGAATTAAAGAAATAAATTGTAAATTGTAAATGACATAACGTTTGAACAGCATATTGAAATGGGAAGGTCTCCATGTGTCTCACTGGCGTATTAAATTGTTATTTAATCTCAGATTTGTAAAATTTCGAACGATTGATTGAAGATTCGCATGTCCATTCCCCATTTATCACCTTCATTTTGATCCAGCTTATAAGAAACTGCTTCAATCTGTTGTGTTAATTTGTTTAGCTCGACTGCTTTCTTTCTCCTCTGAACTCTGTTCCTTATGTAATCACGACAGCTTGTGAAGTGAATTTTGCTGTTATCATTGATGTTGTGATATTAAAGTATCCTTGTATTTTTTAAGTGGCTCTATTTTCATTAAATCGATTGTGATAGGCACAAGTTTCCTTCTATTTCTTGATTTTGCTTCAAAAATCTTTATTTCGGTCATCTTCTATCTGTTGTCTTTAACACGTAATGAGCTATTTATATACAAGGAGAAACCTTTAAACTAACTGTTAATTCACAGTCTCATACTCTTTTTTAGACGAATGTGACGTCATTTTGATAAACAAGGAAACGTTGAAAGTAACACAATTCTGATCCCTGTATATTTCCGTTTCTTTCAGAGCCACCAAAACCAAAACAATCCAGTAAGTCGGCCAAGCCTCAAAAATCAACCAAGAAATCAAAATCGTCCAAAAAGAAACAAAAACCTTCACTTTATGTACTGGGCATTGTGCTAGCATTGTATGGACTACTAGGAAAGCTTGCCAACGGCAATTTCATTGTTGTTGGTGTTTTAACTGTCATAGTTGGTGCATACATTCATTGGTTTGCGACCCAGTTTGAAAAATTTTGATGAGATTTAATATAATATGCAATCAATGTGACCTTCCTATGTAAACTCTGTGTAGATTTTGTCAGATTTTTTAAAACTCAGAAACCTAATCACGTTTGAATAACAGTACATGTTGATTACATGTGCAAATACCTATCTGTATGTTTTTGGGGTCATCCTGGTCTCACTGAGTAGATTCGTATTTCTTTGACACCCATCTCACTTCTGTTTAAGCCAAATCAGTACTATCTTTGAAATAGTTCTTTGCATCCAGGCTGTCAAAATTATTTAATAGTTCTACTTTCTTCTTAATTTTACAAACTGTTTTCCAGCAAGTAAGAAAGTAACTGTCATACTAATAAATCACGTAGAGCTCTGTAATCAAGGGAATTGGTATATAGATTACTCCAGAAATGGTCTGCAATGAGAATGTCTTTGTAATTTTCCCACCGGTGTGTATGATTGTTATTTGTCACCTACCAGCTAAGGAGAAGATCCAAACATACAATGTACCTGCTTCCATATTGGTCTCTTGTGGTTTCACAACTTCATTCAAGTAAAGGTCGCTGTCCCAGAGAGTTGCATAAAAAACTAAAGAGTCCCAACTGGTGTCCCAGGTTCAAATCCTGGTCTGGCCACGTGAATGTGTTTGTTTATTTCATTTTTGCTACTTTTTTCATAAAAAATCCCCAAGGTATAGTTTATTTTCCAGGAATGATTTATCAAAGCTTCTGTTATTTAGGGAAACAGTTTCGAATTTACAACACAAACGTTTCATATTGATAGATGCAGATTTCGGCCGTGGTACGGGAATCAATAATGTTTTTTTTAAACGCCAATCCTAGTAGGATATATTGTTGTACATGGGTTATTGTCCGTCTTTCTGTTGATCATCTTATTCCAGTTCGGAACATAACCTCAGGACCAATGAAAACATTCTGATAATAGTTTCATATCGATTTGAACCATAACTTGATGGTGTGTCAGGAAGTTATGGTGAAAAGTCAATTCACGTTTTGACTGTTCGGAATATAATTTGTTGAATTAATTTCTTATCTGCCATCATTTTGCATAATGTCGTGCGCTTTCTTCGTATGTCTTTACTCCAATTCAAATACACTATTCAAGTCAATTTGTTTGTATGAAGCTCAGAGTTAAAACCTGTTTCAGGTGCTGGAGAAACGGTCGTTTGCAATACAATATTAAGCAATTTTAAAGGAACTGGTGCACGTGCTTATTGTATTATATATCAGGTGTTACAAAAAAATGCAAATTAAAGATGGAGGAGGTTAAAATGCTAATATTTTACGTATGGTATACTGTTCTACTTATACAGGAAGGAATGCCTTTCTGCAATATGTAATGAGAGTATACGGAAATGATATAATGTTTAGAGACAACCTACCTGTGAATGTATGCTGATAATGTATATATGACGAATAAGAAAAATGCTTCAATGTTTTTCGAGATTCAGATGTGTTTTAAGTTTTCTTGAGTTTTTCTATGAAATTTAGCGATTATAACAATAATATCTTGGAATTGATATTAAATCACTGGTCAATTTCTTTAGTATGATATCTTTTCAGTGCAATTTTGATTGACATGTATAGCAAGTGTGGGTTGAACCTACATTTTTTTTTTTTTTTTTGCATTGATTTTGATCATACAGTTCAAGTGGGCGTACAGTGTATTCTTTGTTTGTAAATGTATACTTGATGTCAATTTCACACGAGATTGGTTATCATGTAGCTCGTCTAATTCGTTTCGCATATTAGAAGATGCAATAAATACCTACATACAAATGGTGATATGTATGTGTACCGTTATGTAATATCTTCATAAGCGTGACCCTTACAATGAAGAAAATCACATATCTATGATGCATTATATGACATGTGTTCCTATAGAAGTTTTACATTTTGTATACCAACTGATTAGAATTGTTATTGGTTATTAAGACTTGTGCAATACACAACCTGTTTACCAGGACAACTTATGTTTGAATGTAGATACAATCACCTATTTGATTTAGACGCGTGTGACGACACATTGAATATTGTGTTCAGTGAATGAACGTTTAGTAGTTGTGATTTTGTAATATTTAGTATGAAATGAAGCGACCATATTTTTATTCGTAATCATATTTGTTATTATAAAAACAAGTACTGTAGTTTATTCTCATGGCACCATTCAAAACCTATGAAAGGATCGATATGATTTTGTCTGCAATACCTTTTAATGTCTTTTTTCTTCTAAATATGATATTTGAACGAATGAGTAATTGATATTTTTTGCCGAAAGTGAAACTTTATTTTATGTTGTGTCCATCTGTATTTCTGATTCATAGTGATTGGTAGATGCTTATCATAAAACAAAGAGAAAGTGGAAGTGAAAGAAAAGAAAGTAGGTAAAAGAGTTATGTATGCCTAATGAAATGTAATTTTGATGTAATCTTTATAGTAAAAGTTAAATTATTTATTTTTCAATATTTTGTATTTATACATTTTCTCTTTGTAGCTCCCTCGACAACGGAAGAGGATAGCGCTTCAGAAAATGTTGAGAAAGATGAATTATGAATGCCCAAGGTGTTTGATAGCAAAAGTATAATATATGTTACATGTGTCTCAAAAGTGTGTGAAAATGAAATATATGGTGGAATAAAAGGTTATATTTGTCTTATAGAAATGTTTCCGTTATTTGTTTGTTTCAAAAATGTGTTCCAAACTACATGTATATTACTTGGATAATAATGGCTGGAAATACCATACACGGGGAAAAAAATTCCGAGTCAAATTTTCACTCGTCACAGATTAATTTCATTGTAATATTTCTATTTTTCTCTGCTTCTGAATACCTGTTGTTTAGTTCTGGCTTCGCCAAGGGGAAGAAGGCAATGGGTTCTGTCGTCATGCCGGGACATACCGAAGTCCTTAGTAGTTCTCTGCTTTATGTTCAGCATACAAAGCACTAAAAGTCGGCATCAAATCCGTGCTATCATAAGGTGGCAGATACGCCAACATACCGCCTACGGCACACATAAACGCATGCACGGCACACATGGAGTTGCGTCCTCACATTACCTTGGCTGTTGATGAGACATTAAACCATGTACAACCAGCTAACCAATCGGCCAACGTTGATTTCCAACTTAACATGTAGATCCTATATATGGCATGCTAAATACTATGATAGTATCTCTCTCACTTCGGAGGACAAGTAGCCAACATTTTAAGTGCGACGAAAAGCGTCTGGGTATACAGTATTATAATTTCACCGCGCTGACAAGTTTTACTGCTTTCATCTGAATGTTCCAGAATTAAATTTCCTAGATAGCACGGTTCAGTTGTTGAAAGATTGATTGACTATATAAACGACACGTTAACGTTAGAACTAAATGGAAATTGTTTATAGAGAGATGCAATATTGCACTGAATCCAATAGGCGTTTTTAAAGATTTTATACTTAGTTTCTTGAAATTTAAGCCAACATCCGGACCCTTTCTTAGCCATATATGTTAGCCTTTTCATGTTCTTTGTAAACGAGATGTTTTTGGAGGATTAAATAAGTCGTTCTGAGTATTTCATAAAGAAAAGGTAAACTTATTTCTCAACTTGTTAGGACGAGATACCACTAATTTTCGACAGAATATGGAAAGTATTCCTGCCACAAATGAACTTTCCATAGTATCCCATATATTCTAAAAAAAAAGGTGTCGGGGTAACAATGATAAAGAGTTACGTGTGAGCCCTGACTGATCGTTTATACGGTCATTTCGATGGAAGAAATAGAAAACAATTTTGAAAAAAAGATTATGTATTCCTTAGAAAATCAGGGTGATCCATATGTAACAGTTGGTCTTAAAAGTCTTGCATATCAAACTCTCAAAATTTAATTCATCCGTATTTAAAAAAAAAGGTTACTTTCAGTTCAAGTTTGAAGGCAAATCTGAACTACGTTATTGCTAGTTCTTTAATTTGCTGAATAAACTGTTTCCCAGTGTGTTGTATATCAAAAATTTGTATGTATTTTAAAGTAGACCTTTATTATAATTTGCAGTCGTTTTCGTTTCTTGTCTAAAAATAGCTAAAACACAATTTACATAAATATACTTTATTCTGGCATATCAAGAAAATGTACATTTTGCAAGAAAAGATATTGGTTTGCATGATACTTCTTAATATTGTTCAAGAAATAATTGGATACAACTACAAACGCATGTAAGAGCTAATACGCTGAGTGATGCAGATATCCTAGAAGTGGCGTTGATGCCAAATAAAATCTGCCAGAACGTCCTTTTTTCGACATTTTCACAACGACTTGTTTTTGGGACAAGCGGACATTTACCGCGACTTCCATTCTCAGGATCCTTCCAGTTCTCCATTTTACAAAGTTTCGCAAGTCTTAGGAAATTTTCCTCTAATGGTGAGAAAGCTGATTTCTGTCCTGGATTGATCTCAGCATATCTCGTAAATCCGCTGGTCATTCTTGTTAGTCCTATTATATATTCCTCGCCTACCATCGTTTGGTTTTGAACAGGATAGCATCCAACTGCTTCGTCAATAGACTCGATGATAATTTCCCCTGGTACTTTGAACTGATCATACTTTAACAGACAGTATACATCGAAACGACAGTCCAGTGCGTTTGGGTGACGTAACTTCCCATGCATCTTGTCTTTACCATAAACCACGATGTCCGACTTCAGTAATATTTCCTCCATTGTCATCGCTGTGACGTTGCCAGATTCGCAACTACTGTGGACGTTGGGTAAAAACAGTAGTAACACTACAGAAATCATATTCAATATCGTTTGCACTTTCACACTCATCACTCTGTTTCTGCTCAAATATGCCACTGCAGTTTTGCACTTAATACTGAAATTAGACGTCCTTCGTGAACTCTGCACTAGCTATTTCTATTGTTTTAAATCCGACCCATATGCATCAGAGATCTGGTTAAGCACCACTCGAATAAACACATTGTTATATATCCTACAATAAGAATACTCCTTCAGGAAGTTCACGTATGTATTATCAAAGTTCTCAGATTCAGCTTGACAAAGGCCAGGAGACCGAACAATTCGTACTGTAGTTTTTTAAGATTCCCATATACTATATGGTAATTTCATCTGTGATTGAATTTGTTATTGTATATTTTCTACTTTGTCACGCAACCCCCGCGCACGTTATGAAACCTCGACTGATGTGTGTACTGATTTGATAGTGGTTAATCTGATTTTGTCGATAAGATCATTTGATAAAAGACGTTTATTGGATTATACTGATTAAGTATTCTTGTACTAATGCGACCGAGGTCAATATATGTAATTCATGAAACACCTTGAAATGATCTGTCTTTGGAGAAAGTACTTGATGCTCTCTATCATGTTGAACATTATCAATATTCTTCTAGATCTATATTTTTGATAAATTTAGCATCAATATTGATAACAATTAAATAACAAAAACCTCAAGTCCGAAAATTAACTGTCTGCAAGTATTTGTGGAGAAGTTATCAGCGAACATAAGAGTGCAGTTTATAGCCAAAAAACTCCACGTACATACGTGTACAAGTTGATGAAACATCTTTGACAGCTCACGTGTAGATCTGGCAAGGATACACAGCTATGTACGCATATCGACAAATCACAATATCGTCATGTTAATATGTAATTAACTTTACTTCTAGGCATGCAACTGTATTTCACAAAGATCCAATCGTACATGCACTGGCTCATGTCACCAGTAACGCATTATTTCCCCACACAATTCGATATAATGTCAATATTCGGACATGTTTCTTGCATAAATGTCAAGAAGAAAGTAGACAAATATGATACGTTTTGAATGTCTGCCCATTTATTTTACAATAATCATTTTGCACTATATTGTAGAGGATGTGTATTGAAATAATCTATTTGACACGTACCTGATGACATCCAAAAAAATAATTTGGGAAAGTCAGGCTAAAATGACCTGTCGAGTTGACCTCCGATTACCATTTTGACAAAAGACGAGGAGATATTTATATGTGGAGAATAGGTAGATTTATTGTTGGTAGAAAGTGATCGCCACGTTACAGGTGAAAGAGGGTAATTTCCGAGGAGTACCTGATACACCTGTGATCAATGAACTGGGCCTACAAGATAACAAATGCAATTGCCCGATATAAATAATCCATTTCAGATCAAAGTGACAGGTCATTAATCATAATCTGCAGCAGATACATTTTCATAAAAAACAATAACAGTAAATGTACTTATTTCAGTGGTAGAAAAAGTTTAGCACTTTTTTTGCGCTAAATCGAAAACAATCAGCTATGATAACAGCAAAATACACAGTATTGCTACATATTATAGAAATTTTATGTGTTGAATCATTAACTTGTAATACTTTGAAATTGCCACTGATGCGCAGGAATATCAACGGCATGGTCGTCTTGAAGTGTTTCAGGAAGGAATGACTTGTTTTGTGTTGTTTTCTCATCTATGGCAATTAAAGTTGCATACATAACTTGAAAGGCAACTGAAGATAATATTTTTTGTTAGAAAAATATCACAAAATCATTCATATGACAAATTGTACGAGTATTTAAGAAATGAAGGCCAATTCCATAGCTTGGTATTATTGTTAAAAACACTTTGTACTGTTTTATTCCTTTAATATTTCAGTTGTTTATTTACCATTAATGATATTAAGTAATAAGCATATATTGTTGTTCTGGTCACAAATGATTTAATAATTATTCGTAATATTACCATAAATTTCAATACTACTTAATCATTGTAGCGTATGTTGCATTACGATAATGGTTTTGTATACCTTTAAAGCGATTTCAGGTCATTGAAATAAAGCAGGGCAATGAATGGCCAACCAATAAACTTCAATCGATTCATATAAGTAGTATACATTACTTACAATATGTATTAAACTTTCCAATGTATTTATCTTAGGCTTTTATAAAAATAACTTAAATAGAAACAGCACCTGGCATTGCCTTCGCTTACATAATTATATACTGTCATAAAACTATTCCAGAATTACGTCACTCACAAACAAGGAAATATCCACCGGTGCTTTTGAAAATTTACAAACGTATCTATATGATGAATACGTAGCTTTGGCGTTATAAAACCATCTTAGCGTTACTTTGGACAATGTTGTCGAAACTAATTGAAAACAGATTGTGACTTATGAGCATCTGCACACTAGATCTACGAATATTTTCATAATATCCTTGGAGAACAGAATGCGCTCTTTCAAGGTTTTCGAAAACCTTAAACCTAAATCTCAGCAGTGATGATATCAATTTTGACTCAACCTTTTAATGTAGGATACATCTTTAAAATTCAAGGTGTGACTGTTTGCTTTGATTGAATCGTGTTTTCAGCGTTTTCATTAAACATTCTCATGTATATATAAGCGATATTTGTTTGATTTGCTTTGCCTCTTGTGATACTTGGACATGATTAGGAATGATTTGTTTACCTAGCTTGAGTACCGTTGTGTTAAATCGTTATGCATACAATAGAACCTCATTAATGTAAATGTATTAAAGGTTTACAAATCCAGCTTAATTACATTTATCCTTTAGTTTTTCTTTTTATATATATAAAAAGAATGCGCTACAATCTTTAAAAAAAAATGAAGCAATTCATTTTCTTGTTTACAACGTTATTGTACATGCAATTTGATTGTTTATGTTTGTTTATAATGATTGGTGAACACATGGAGGATGTGTGGTTCCTGGATGGGAAGGTTGGTGTGCAGTTTGGCATCCACGAAGACAAAGCCAACAGGCACTGACGTTACTTCCTGCAAAGATCAATAACGCTCAATGGAAAACTCATACGTATGATAGAAATCATAGTATACCTAAAGTCGCTTTAATATCACTGTAGTTCTTCAAAATGGTATTTACATTCTTCATTTGAGAGCTTTTCAGATCTTTTCAAGACAATTTTCACAAAAAAAAAAAGTAAAAAAAAATCAGATGACGGAATGCTACCAGCTGCATTGATACACATTGAATCATTTAACCATATTGTGTTTTAATACGTCAATGATGTGTTTGTGATCAAAATGAAAAAAAAGAGATCGGCATTAATTGAAACTAAATGCTAATTGTTCCTCCATATATGCAAGGACACTAGTATGCAATAAATTTTGCTGTATAACCATCATTTTATAGTCTTACTTGTAGTAAGCTTTTGTTGCATCAAGTGAAAACTGACTTACCTCCACTTATCTCCACTTACCTCCCCTACAAGCTGAACTGGCTGTTTACTGAAAATAGGGGGAAAATTTGTCTGTTGACACATTGTAACACCTACTAGTATTGTTTGTTTTACAGGAATAAATCGTGTTAACAATACACAATAAGGAAATAAGCCGTACCAAACAAACGTAAACACATCTCATACATAATTCATTGGTATTAAATGCGTAGTCTGACATGATCTAGAACTACTATTGAATGTTCGTCATCGTGGTTTATTTAATTACATAATTTATCACATTTAGATTACATTAGTAGAAATTTCTCCTGTATTGTAAACACAGGCTCTCCGAAGTATGGTGGCGTGTACTACAAAGAGTTTGTACAAGAGCATTGTGTCACACTTGGTCCCGTCTTTAGGAAACAGCTGATGTACTATAAGACCATTCACGAACGCGGTGTTGCTTTCTGCTAGCTTTTACTCCGAGATGTAATTAACGATGGCATTTCCTTCTGCATATTTAATCCTTTTGGGATACTTAACAGTATTGTTCCTTCACTACAATGTCATGAGGTGGGAAAATCTAAGGAAGCGTTATTCAGACCGTAATTACGTAACATTAGTTTAATACCAAGAAGAAACAAAAATAATTAAGTTCAAAATCGATCGTGATAATATTTCAAAATTATTATCATTTGTTTTTAATCAGATATGCACATTGTTTATGATGATGTTGATGAAATGAAATCGTTTATTGTTAAGTTCCAGAGACAGCGATTTCACTTCCTCAATAAAGCTTATAATACAGCTCAATAACTCATGACTGTGCTTGAAGTTTAATGCCATTGTTTTACATGAAAAACAAGTTATCAGACTTGACAATCGAAACGTAGCGAGATATTAGAAACATGAGTCATAAGCATTTCTAATTGAACTTGATATTACAGGAAGTCATGAATCTCAAAGCCTATCACGATTTTATCTTATTTCTCCTTTATGAAGCATCTGCAAGTGTGACACACGTAAAGTTCGAATGTTTTTTCCTCTGTCGATATAGTTAATCAAAAATATCTGCTATGCAGGACGTTTTTCTTAATTTCAAAACTTCGTGTAATGAAATGATAATTGGATAACAAGGTTCTCATCTGCAGTGCATTTTGGTGACATGTTGTTCAAAACCAAAGAAAGAAATTGGGGTTTATTATTGAAAAAATAATTCATATCTGTCCGGTGGTCTGTTTGTTCCACCAAGTCTCTTTTCCACTGTGCTTTTTTCTTTCTTGTCTTATTTCCTGACATTGTTGGTCTATTTCCTATTGTCTAAATAATTCAGAATTCAATACCACAATAAGAAAATATTAACCTCACAACTAAAACCCACAGTTTCAACTACATGACATTTATGTCTATTGAGAAAATAAACAAACAGCTAAAATGCTCAAAGATGAACGAGATAAAAGTAAAGTGTAATGGATTATACATACCTCCATAAAACCGTTTTATCTTCATATTACACGTATCGGTCTACAAAAAAATCAACGATTGTGATTCAAACATGTGTACTTCAAAAAAGCAAAGCGTTCTCAACGAACTGAGGGGTTATTTGAAAATTCGCGTTACAACACAAAAGCATTAAGAATAATCAGTATTTTTACGGAAGAGAAATATAATTAAGTTCACAGCAGCTTCTTCTATCATGACGGGAAGAAATATCTCATTTAAGTAAAAAAAAATGTGTCTTCTAGTGCTTCAAGACATACAAAACTTCGGTAGCAATTAAATATTTCAATTCAACTCGAAGAAGAAACCATACAGATAGAAAGGTCAAAAATACCACTGAGACAATGATGGAAATATTAATGTCGCATGTACCGAATTTTTTTTTTTTGTAATGAAAGTCATAGCGTCGATGTTGCTAAGCGTACTTCTGATGTTACTGTACCCTTTCAGACAAAAGAACTTTAATGGATAATGGTGGAGTTCCTATACTTGCTACGACAGTAAAGTGCAAATTGGGATCATCTACTTGGAGAAACAGCTTTAACTGAGCATGCTTTGTTCTTAATTGCAAAGCTAAAATATGATTCTATCATTCCATGTAATATTATTTAATAAACTTACAGACACAAACACAAATAACTTGACATACCGGGACATTAAAATTGATGTTAGTCCGTACTACTCTATTATTAAGAGGCAAAGTAGGCCTGTGGTTTTTCTCCAACATTAATTCCGAGTTATCTTCTCCTCCTTGTTTGATATTACGAAAGGATTCCAGCTAAAACATTAAACAACATTTTTGTTATGTTAGAAGGTATTATAATACAAAGCAAGATTTAACTAATAATGAGAGCATGCACAGGTGAACCCGTTAATATATCGGGATTATAGTTATGACGTAAGCAGTAAGAACAAAATCCTATTTTCCTTGATATAAAAGAAGATATCATACATGTTTATTAAATATATTCTTTATATATGCGAAATCCGCAGAGTCAAAGTCATTGTTACCAACGTTCGTAATAAAGGCATGACGAATGAGCATGCTCCATCTCAATTAAAATTGACTTGTATTGTTCCTTACGACATACAAGCATGTTTATTATCCATAGAACAATTCAAATACGGTTTGAGAGGTAGCTTTGTTATCATGTCATCGCTAACAGATGATATATTGTTGTGATCATTTCCCCTTGCTAATTTTGCTCGTTCGGAATCATTCCAACACGATCTACTGAAAATTGCTTTGCAGAACTTTCTATTTGTAAAGGAATCCGTGAATATCGGATACGCTGCTTTTCTTGAGCAGAGAAGTTGCGCATCTTACCAGGATTTTGATAGTAAGAATGACCAAGGCACCAGATTCAACAAGAAAATGTGGGGAAACGGAAACACTGTCAACGGTTCTTTCATACCTTACCGACACATTCAGTATATTTCTAAAACAAAAACAATATCTATCGAGATGTTTTAAGATGACTTATTTCGAAGTGATCATTTTGAATATCAGAGCAAGTATGTTTACGCTTTAACTTTGACAATTTAGGGCTGCATACCTCACCAAAACCTGGCACGTCCTTAATTAAATGACCATAGATGTTAATAGGACGTAAACACAAACAAACCAAGCCAACTTTACGATAAAATACATAATTCATCACGGTACGATTCTTACGAAACAATACGTATCACGATACAAATATCTGCTTAAAAGGTCAATAATATAATAATTGAGTGTATCATTTTATCGATTTTTGTCATAGACTTCAACGGTAAATACAAGTGTTTTTTGGTTTTTTTAGAGTTTGATAAAAGTGATTGAAATATTCAGTGCTGTTAGTTTTTGTATCGCGATACAGGCAAAACAATTGTATACTATACACAAGAAAGCATCACGATACAATACTATACGATCTATTGTTGCAAACCTACTAACCATCGAATCATGATGCTATGAATTGCTTTTCATTTAATACTATGGATAACTTCGCGTTTGATACTACATACTACTTTGCCTTTTGTACTTAGATTCCGTTGCAATCGATACTATAGATTTCTTTGCCTTTGATATGTGGGTTACCTCGTATTCGATACTATATGTTACTTTGCATTTTATACAATAGTTGTCGTGCGTTTGATGATAAAATTACTTCGTGGTTGTTTATATAGATTTCAATGCGTTTCATATTATAGATTACTTCACACACATGTTATTAACTAAACTGACTGTTTTACTTATTCGCGAGGAAATAATCGAGTCTTTCTTTCTGAGTTTCGTATTAGAAAGAACAGGTATGCTTCAGGTTTTCTCAACCTGTCTTTAGAACCAATGCTTTCTCCCGTACATGTCAGCTGTGTATGTCTGTGACTTGTCTTACGTCCAATGCATGCTAAAAGGGGTTTACATTATTTTCAACGTGCTGGAGCTCCAGGCGTCAATACCCTTCGCTTTCAATCTACGAGGTTTGAATTATTGATGGGGCACGTGTAGACATTGTGTTACCTACAAACAGTCGTACGCGTGGCAAGGAAGCTGTCACGACAGCAGGTTGTATTGATACTAGACCTGGAAAAAATCGGGATCACGCTACTCACAAAGAACAAATTGCAGTCTATCCCATTCTTTGGCATTTCTTTATCACCTTTCAAAATAAATACTTAATAAATATGCACATGGCCTAAAATATTTACTTTTATTTAGCCATAGCGCCAATAACCGAAATTCAGAATGAAAGTCGACATGGAAAAATAGAAACACAAAAAAGGGGAAAATCATCCTTTACGCACTATAAACAATGTTGCAAAACTAAGAGCATTCATTTAATTTATTGACCCAAGTCGTGTTATATACTTTCGATTTGTCAGTGTCATGCTGTTTTTATTAGCATATTTATGGTCCTGTATACAAGTCAAGGTTGTACAACACAAGATGCTCTCGCGCTATTATAGTGAACAGAGTTTAGTATTATAGACAGAACTTTTTTCTCTTTGTATTGAATTATTAAAGGACTCGTATATGGGTTGATATTTGTGATATATTTGTCCGTGATTGAGGTTGTTTTAATGTGCTTTACTGCTGTTTGTGTAAAGTCCATATCCCGGATCGACCTATATCGTCCGCACGCGTTATACCTGCCGAGCACGCGCCATAACCGCCCGACGTGCGCAATATCTGCCCAGCACGCGCCATTTCCATTTTACTTTTTTAGTAACGATCTATAACGTCATTTGTTATGCTGAACGACTTTATAATTCTTTTATGAGGAATGTTAACAAACAGTTGTCGTAATAGCAGAAGGAGCCGGTGAAACTTTGACATGAAATAGCGTCACTTTAAAGGGGGCCTTTGGGGCATGTATGACATTAGGTAAATCATCGAATTCTTAACTTTACGTAATAAAATAAAATAAAATTCCGTTCTATTTTATATCCTTGTTTCACACCCTGAGTTTGGCATTAACGTAAAATTTATAAATTTTGCTTTGTAAAAAATATTGAAATGCCAGGGTTATTCTGCTGGTATTGAAAATGAGGGAAAGTTTACAACACAGTAACTTTAAAATATTTATTATATGACCATTTACATATACTACCTCTTATCGCCCATCGACCAATACTAGTCCTCAGGCCTCCTACCCCTTGGGCTGATGTTTAGTTTAAACATATTTTATTGCCAATCAAATGGATTGGGCACAAGTTATTAAACTTATATTAAGCCCTTTCCCACTTGGGCTTATATGAAGCTAATGTTTAATTTAGCGGCTAAGATATCAAAACGCAATTTGGTGAAATCGCTTCAGAAGCCGTTCTATTCGCTGAACATAGCAATTGAAGGCAACAATATTACCTGGGTATTTTCCCTGCAAAAGTATGGAGCTAAATGATCTATGTACCAAAAGGTACAATTCTCATAGGAAACTCCTTTTCCCGTAATAATTATTGTTGCGATAAATAATTTCTGAAAGAAAACCAACCCTTGCAGAACTTTTATGAAAATATAAAAAAGACGAAATAAACAAAAACAAATAATAATCAACAACAGTGTTCTAAGTTAAAAAATTCAGCGGATATAGATCAGGATTCGAACTCCTGACCTCAAATTATTGTACTGTCGCGCTTACTATGTGAGTTACCCAGCCAGCGGTATTCTCAAATGTTTGTATGCAGTAGGACAGGGGTTCTTTAACATTGAGTAGTCCAGTAAGTAAAGCATATTCATTAGGTGGCGTTTTCATAATCTCGAGAAAGCGGAAACCAAGAAAGGTAAGAAAACCGTAGGCTATACTCTATGTATACGAGAGTCCGTTAACATAAGTGAAAATGTATTTGTTTGATTAATGTATAGCAAATACATAATGTACTTCCGCATCCAATAGTATTAATACCATACAACACAAACGATGGTATTGCTCTATAATATCTTGTATACTGTGATATTTGTAGCCAAGTTGGTATTCGACAATGATACATTGAAGTCTGCTCTGCGTATTTGTCAAACAAGTCTTGAGGTCAAAACAAACCCTTTGTTAAGACCATCACGCCAATTGGTTCATCTATTTGTATTGGTACACTACCGAAAACGTCAATTTATTATCATTGCAAGTAATACCAAATAGGAGGGTATCAATTCAAAGACAATGAATGACAATGGATGCAGTGTGTTGTAGTCATTTTATGGCAGAGAATCAACCCTAGACTAATTTGTATCATAGACAGCAAACCGTAATATTGGTTGATTCTCCCAGCTTGTTGTCTACAACTAATGTGTCTTTCAGTTACGCCAACTGTCAAATAAAGCATTCTATGTAAAACGACGATTTCATTCGGTTATTGCTGATGAAATTAATGATATATTTCCCGGATTGTATTTCAAATGTATTGAAGTGACGCCTGTAAGATTGATACTTATATCAGAACTGTTTCATGCTATAACATACATCATTAATAATAATGGAAGTGTTAGGCTCTGACAGGGCAAACGTGGCAATTGTCGCGAACTGATTAATACAGATTCGAATCAACATTTTTTTTTTTATAGATTTTTATTATTTTTATTTTCATAAATTCCTTTCATTGCAACGACTAGCCTTAGAATTTTTTTATCTGCTTTTGCAACCACCAAATAGGAATTGTGGGTAAAAAGGGACATATTTCTGCGAATGAAATTATTTGCAATTTAATACCATTTATGATTCTCAATTTTGAAGCCTTGTCATACCAATCAGTCGTTTGAAATGTATCCTTTTGATTGATTACATGTACTTTCACCAAATATCAGAGTTAGATTTAATTTGTTTTGTTTCACTTCCTTATTGAATTTGATAAACTTTACATGCATTCATTGTCTGTATATCTTATAATATATACCAGGAAACGTTCGCCCAGTCAACTATTCACCATTCAGTGGTAAAATCAATATTCACCCAATGTAAATTACGAAGGGCGAAAAGACAAAAATTAAACTGCGACGAAAATTTCCTGTTATATAGTAGCTATTTACCAATTAAGTACCATTAAGTAAATGCCAAAGTTACAAACGTTAATCAAACGATGTTTTGTGACCCTAACTGTACATATATTAATAGCAATTTCTGTTTGCTTTAGCATCACAAACGGATATCTATGTCACACAGCTTAAGTAATCAATTTGTAAAAAGGTTATAAATTAAGCAAAAAGTTGCAATATTTACTTATGACAATTCCTTTGCGATACTCCTGTTTGTAAATATTGTTAACGATGATAAACGATGTAAACATATGTCATCACCAGTGAAGGATCAATAACGAGTCACGCTATTAAAGCGTTAACACTATTACAACATGTACATGTATAGAAAGCCTCATAGATCACAGTTGGACACCCGCATGTTTACATTAAACTGTTATAGCCTCTACTAATACAAAAATACGTTACTTTTGTATTACTTTTTTTTTATAAACGACAAGGATAGCAAGCATTATCGATTGATCACTGTTTAACAAATGTGTACAATAGACTTTTCCTGCATAAACCTAATATTGCTTTCTTTGCCTTGCTTTTATCTACATTAAACTGTCTCTGTTCGATTTTCCTTCCATATCTTTAGATATAGAAATTTGGCTTAAATTTCATATTTCTATAGCAGAAACATTTGGGTCTCCAACATAGCTAACGAGATTTATTATATCCGGTAACTGTATATGGTATTCTCTTTGTTTAATTCAACACAGTTATTGCAATGCTTTGTTTATTCGTTTTAGACAATTATATCAATATCTCTGACCATCCACCCTAAACATATAATAACCATTACTTTGTAAGTTATCACACTTCATGCCACATATAGAGTATATCTACCTTTCACCTTAAAACATACAATACGTATTTCTATGTAAGTAATTACAATTCATGTCACATATATAGCTTAATCCCTTACTAATAAAAAGGAGCGTCTAAAGTATCTCTTCGGAGTATTTGCTACAGTACCAATGAGCGTAGGATTGTAACATATCTCATTACGAGAGGATATCTACTAAGCACATCACCCTGTCTATCCATAACAATGTACAGTTCGTTTGGCCTGCTCTTCGCAACATTATTAATCCTTCGTCTAGTCAGTTTATTGCTAGACACCCTCTCGCTGTCATGGTTTTATGGCCAATGACTAGTCACCACAGTTACACAAGAGAGCACCGACACATATCGACCCTGCGCGCCCCGCCATCAAACGTCTGGGGCAAGTCACTAACATGCGTGTTGGTGTTTTTAGTGGAGACTATGAACAAAAGTTCTTTTAATTGTTCCATTTTGATCAATTACGCTTTTTACCAATAAATGGTACTCAATTTCAGGCATTGTTACAATTCATTTAACATATTTAATTCGTAAAATTATATGATTTAGTTGACTTGATCTATTTTAGTTCACAAGATATTTGACTCTGTTAGTGGACTATCATTCCTTTGCGAGTGGCTGCATGTAACCTTGTAGCTAGAATGTAATTCGGTACGTTTTACAAGAGAAGTATCGTTGTATCCCTGTTGATTTGTAACGTTATCAGGTGTTTGATTGGCACTCCCCCCTTACGCTATCTCCCAGTCTACGTTTCGGAACGCTTTTGATATTGATTTTCATGCTTTTGACCTTTACAACAACTGATGAGAACTGAATCAGTGAAGTGAGCACATGGTGCAGTGAATTTTCTTTTTCTCTGGCTTTTTGTATCGACATGCTAGATTGAGAAATAGATGTAACCTTCTTCTTTATTATAGTTCAAGCTATGATAATATCGGTGTTGACCATGATAAAAGAAACCCCTGTTTTTATAATTGTTGGTGACCTTCATGCTTGGTTTTGTTGATAGATATAATTTCGATTGGAACATTTGGTGCAGGAAACGGTCACACTTCCGGTGTTTTGTTTCTTCAACGGATTTATTGAAGAATTTATTACGAATGTCTGTAGGTTTTGCTGTCTATGTGCTTGTTATTTATTTATTTTTCAGATTTCAGTTTCGTTTGTGTGTGATAACGTGTTGGTATATATATTATTTTCAATATGCATTTATCTCGGATTTTGTCTCATTGTTTCTAAATATTCTCTGCTGCATAACAATTATGACATCTACGACAGACGTGTCATAAAAAGGTCAGTCAAAATTCATATAAATTATTAAAGTTTAATCAAATAAACATATGATACTAATCGGTCTGTAGTATTTACAAACGTTCAATAGCAGGTTTACGTACATATCATGTATAAATGGAAGGTTTCTGTATTAGTTCCTTAAAGTAAAGACAGTCCGTACACAAGATTGCGTCTCTTTACATGTCTAGCCTGAATCGTTGGTATTTACAACACGAAGGAAACATTATCATTTCTCTTTATCCCAAGCAATGTTTTAACTATGTGTTTTATTGTTCAATATCCCACTTAAAAAGGAACAAAGAGAATGACTAAAAAGTTGTATTTGATATTAATTTTATGTCAAGCCTTCTTTTTGATATGTTCCCTGTTCCCTTGAAAGTACAATGGTGATTAAATGACTTTTATAGTGATTTGATACTTGGCCCGATACATTTTATTGACAACTGGACAATGACTTGTTCTTCAGAGAACAGTTACGCATCTCCTGACAAATTCAACAATTCCTATTGATAAAAGTGTTCATATTCATATCTTTACGATAAAGATAGGGACTTTCTTATTATCAAAGAGGGCTGTACTTTTTCTCGAAGAATGTCATTTGCACTAAAGTATATACGTGGAATTAATCTGCTACGTCAACACTGCAACCCTTTGCCACTCTGATTTATTCTTATTTGGTGTTCACAGTGTATCACTGTTCTTTCAGCATTGCCGCTTTGGGTGATTCATTTAACACAATGATAAGTTAGCGTAACGACACGGATCGTGCATCAGATTCGGAACCATTTAAAGGGAGTATGCCGCCTTTGATCGTTAACTATACTAAACATTACACCACTGAGTGTAGCTCACAGTTCTATTCCGAGACTGCTTTGTCTACACAGAGTAGGTAGTGTTAGTCCCAGCTGATTAAAACAATAGATACAATTAGCTTGTTCTACCTATATAACACCTATACACGACTATTGTCTCGCCATAAGTTACATATTGACATTTTACCGCTGATTACATCTCAAAACCATGGAACCTGCCTTGGATCGATCGAGGTTAATACGAAGGAATGAACGAAGGCACCAGAAGTATTCCGGGAGCATCATATTGGTAACTGGACGGTATGGACACTCATTTAATGCCTACAATAAATTGCTATTCCAGAAGACTCCTGAATGCAAATGGAGTAATAGTACGTAAACCAATCTGATAGACTACATATCAGTTAAGTGAGTTACAGCTCAGGCGAGATTTCCCTGCGTTCCCAAGCATTTACTACGAACGAATGCATGCGCTGTAGATATAAAGGCGTGCGTCAATGTCGATAAATCCGATTGACTGTGAGTGTCGTCTGGTTAGAGCCAACATGACTCTTTAGGGTTGGTCGCAGTTTGAAATTGACCAGTTTGGTTGTTTTTGATCATAAAGGATTAGCATTATTTGAAGATTGTTATATCTGCTTTATGCATAAACATAAACACGTATCACATGTCTTGATTTTATGTTTGGCACGCCTTTGGCTCTTGAAATATGAAATCTCAGCAAGCATTATGGACCCTTGTTACCTGCATAACATCTTTGTGCGTAATCTATAACGTTAATATAAAGTCACTTTTATGTTTTATTGAACGAACTGAAAAGGCTACAGTTACACATTTAATCGGAGATTTCGTTGAAAATGCAAACAAATTTTTATTATAGCGAGGCAAATTTATATACTCAATAATTTGTATGTGTTTAACTTCTGGTGTAAATTGGATCATTTTGAACAATATTCTAGGTTATTAAGATTTGCGAAAAATCTGTGGTTACGGGAATCCGGTGGTGAAACTGAGCACTGAAACAAAGGCACTGAAACAAAGCCAATGAAACAAAGGCACTGAAACAAAGGCACTGAAACAAAGGCACGAAACAAAGGCACTGAAACAAAGGCACTGAAACAACGGCAATAAAACAAAGGCACTGTAACAAAGGTACTGAAACAAAGGCACTGAAACTGAGCACTGAAACAAAGGCACTGAAACAAAGGCACTAAGGCAATGAAACAAAGGCAATGAAACAAAGGCACTGAAACAAAGGCAATGAAACAAAGGCACTGAAACAAAGGCAATGAAACAAAGGCAATGAAACAAAGGCACTGAAACAAAGGCGTTTATCTATCTGAACATTTACAATATAATGGATTCTTACCTGCCATTTCTGGATTTTTATTGGCTTGTTAAAAACGACCCACGTGACCGACTCATGGCAACCAGGTTGAGTGAATGATCCTTCATAGGTGATATAATTATGGGTGTCAGGAAATAGTATGTCTATAGGGATCCCGGTAAGGGGTATCACTTTACCTGTAAGATGAACAGAAAGGATAAAAGGATAAATATATGCATTGACTTTATTAAGCACTTTCAAACTATAACCTCACATTCAAGCAAGAGGAGGTACATAAACAACAGAACCTTAAAGTGACAGCACCCAAATGGCTCACATTTACCTTACAGAAACTGATATTTCCTTTGTTCAAGTTGACTTAAGGTATTGATATTGAGTCTCGATGTTGTACATTTTTACCTCAGTACATGTGTGGTACATTAACTTCTTTGTTTTGCTTTAAATCAGAAAGAATGTTATTTTTGCCCCAAACAGTAAGAAAGGTCACAATTGAGCTTGGTATAACTGCCCATTGATTTAACCAGTCTAAAGATGAGTCAACTGTTACATGTACAAACTCACACTATGGGTTCCATGTGATAGATGATGTACAATTCGTACGTCTTATAATGAATGGTGAAATCTACCATTTCTGTATATCATGTAGAGATGGTGTACACCACCGTTTAAGCGCGTCATGTAATGAAAATAATGATAACATTTCCCCTTGTCTTTTGTATTGATTTTTGTTTCAATTCGCGTTTGTTTTTTGTTTTTAGTGAATTAAACGTGTTTATCGAACACATGTAGTTGACACCACATTCAGCGCCGCCTGACGACAACGTTTTAAAATTAATACTACCGTAATAAAGAGAAACATTCAAATTAGTCACGATATGAAAGACGGTAAGCCCTTGTTATACTGACTTAACTTAATTTATTTAGCCGAATGTGGCATTATATCAAAATTGGTCATATAAAGAGGAGAACGTGTAAATGAACTCTTATAACGTTGGTGGCAAGTGAGGCGTTAAATGGGAATGTAGGACATTGTATCGAGATGTTAGGCGTGTGAACAGATCGTGTCATCCATATTTAAAAAAAAAAAAATTCATCGTTTTAGTTTTTTATCTGTTGAAATTTGAACAATGAGAAGTTTTACTCCCAACATGACTACTTATACTCCTTTGATGACATTATGACGGAATATCTTTATCAAGATATGACGTTCATGTAATAAGAAATACGTCAAAAATGTAGAGTTGGTGGCAAAGCTTGTTTTTTATTTAGTTAACCAAACATTTAGCAAGTCAACAGCTGCTGCTGCAAGGTAAACTTTCTGGTGTTTAGACTATTAGATAAACAACCGTTCTATATTTAGCCAAGTGCTAAGGTAACACGGCTTAAAAAACATAAACCTACAATTTTGAAGAAATTATTTCTTTGTTATTGGTTTTACGGCTATTCCAACTATTTGGAATTGACCTTCGCTTTGCAGTTGACAGATTCAAAAACATGAACGAATAGTGTTATTGTCAAATGGCATTGTTGCTGCAGGATCAATAAATGAAATGCAGTGAAGAAAGTGTTCCTAAAATGGAAATAAAACAAATCGTTATGGCTTTTTATGATGTGTGCATTGCTTTTCATAGAAAACGTAAATTTATTAAATCTAATTGAATTTGTACTTTTCTTTTAACAAATCTCAAGGTCAAAATAGGAAATAAATATCTACACACGAGACACCAAAGCAGAAGGAAACACATCATACGTTTCACCAAAAAGTACTGTGAGGCAAGACTATATGACTCTTCCATATAAAAATTGTTTGATGATAAAATTTCCAACCAGAGATTATATAATTTAGGGCAAAACCGAGTGATCAACATGAATAGACACATTGAAATATTTACAGTTACAAATTCGTTCAAGTCGAGATGGCTGCTTAATGTGAGTTATACCATGTACGGTTTTAAACTGTTTGAACTGGTAAAAGACTGATATGTATTTATATCTACAAAAACAAACATGTATATATCAATTGACAAAAGAAAACATTACGTTTTGAACTTACATTTTACAATGTTTTAGCCTTAAGCTACATGTTTTTCCGGTTTTCCTCCACCACAAAAACTTTGCATTTCCTTTAAGGACAATAGCTGTTAATTGGACGTAAACACAAACAAATCCAATCTTCAGGTGGGCTTTACAGACAGGTGTTTATTTATTTCACAGGAAACAATTCCAATAATTATTTTGCCTTTAGTAATAGTCATCTAAGAGCAAAAACAAAAGTTTGCCTAATTTTATTTCTTAGTTAACATTATTGTATGTAATTTTGATACAGGGGTCAGGGTTGATAAAATGGAGAAATGATGACCGATTATTTGTTTGATCCTCTGCGTATAAAATCACTACGAACCTTAACATTATGACATATTCTGTATCATTTCAAGCGACTTATATTGTTTTCATTGTTAATATTTGACAGAAATATATCTGCCTTTAAACTCACGTATTATATATAGAAAGAAAACCTAAGACACACACAAAAGAATGCACTTATATAATTTGGAAGGTGATACATAATGCCAAAAATGAATTACACTGCACCATACAGTTGCTTCGACTTCTAGCATCAGTGATGCTAGGGGCCAGAAAGATAAAATTAAGAATGGGTCTAAACTACTGTGGAAACAGATGGGGAAATAAGACAATGGATCCGTAACTATAGACATGATAATTTCTCACCCGAGATGGCAAAAATGGCTATTGTGAAAGAGGTTATATGTTATAAATATGAGTAATTGATTACTGATATTCTTGTTAAGACTATGATTGAAATTTCATACTCGCCGTCAGATAATATGCATGAGTAATGGCTATTTCAATTCCGGAAAACAATTTCAGAAATCTTTACCCGACATTATAACCACAATTAAGTATAAAACTTTCAATCTTACGAGAAAAAACGCTATGGTGGTAATGCTTAAAATATAGGTTTGACAGAGTCCGTAGAGCTTCAAGGAGACACAATCATAGCTGTTGTACTTATACCTTTTAACAGGACATCTTCTATTCTCGCAGACATTAATCTAAATGCTTCGTTGTCTGGACTCCCAAACTACAAAAATAAAATGCAAGCATTTGTAGTTAAATTAGTGAAATTGAATTCATGAGGCATTAAAAAATTTGTGACACAGATTCGTAATCAAGTGAATCAGTATCGACAATCAAAACTGAAATGAAAAATACATAAAATCGCAACAAATAATTAGTATTAACTGATGTAAGATTATACGATCAGGATTGTAGATTGAAGAAATATGCTATTTTTTTGTGTGGTATTAAGGTCGATGTTTTGTATTAATCTCGTTAGTGTAAGTTGTTGCTTTATTGTTACTTCCCGAGTTCCCCCAGGATATTATTTAGATTTGCATAGCGTGTGTCGTCTATGAAGCAGAAGACGCTTACCTATCAGGAACACCTGGTCTTATTTTCCTGATACTTGTGTACAAGAGAATATAGTGCCCTAGTCTATAGATTTTGAGTTAGGTTTACTGTCACTTCAAAATTCTCCTGAATTTCGTTTGGTTTTTATTCAATAAAATATGTAGCGTTTATATAAGGTATGCATATTTTCAACCAGAATCATTTAGAATATTCTTGAATGGAAAAAAACAACAAAAAAACGTTTCCTACTTTTGAGCTTCATTCTTGTTTATTTTGTCAACACAATTACTAAAAATATTGTGTTGGTTATTTGTCTCTTGCCATTTTATTAAGAAATAGTACCATGTCTAAGGTAGACCGTAGGTCATATCTCTTGTTCCGCGTTTAGGAGAAGAAGGCACAATTATCGAATAACCTTGGTTATTTATAGAAATACTGTTTGAAACATTATCAAATGGCATGACTGAAAACCACTGCACTGCAATGAATCATAGAAGATATTACTTCGGAGGGCGATATTTCCCAATGGGTTGATTGTCCTACAGAAAAATGTTTCACATATATTTGCTTATCAAAAAGCATATTTCCCAAAAGGTTCTCTATAACAATATCTTCTATAATAATAATAATAATATACAACATTTATATAGCGCCCTATATAATTTGTAAAATTACTCTAAAGCGCTTTACAACGTATGGATAATAGTAATGGTTATAATTGTGAAAACAAAAAACAAAGGCTTACAATCACTTTTATACATTTAAGCAAGCAGTGTGCACATGATTGAACAAATAAAAGGGTGGTATTTACATAATGTCTTTGCAAAGATTCTTAAATGCAGACGTGGAGAGGTGAGTTTTGATGTCCCTCTTGAACTTGGCCAGGGTATTGGACTTTCTAATTGCAGATGGTAAGCTATTCCACAACGTAGCTGAAACCCTTCCAAAACATCTGTTTTCATAGGTCACAGTACTAGATTTTGGGACACACAACAAAGATTCTGACTCCGACCGCAGTGATCGTGACGGCTGATGCAGGGTAACAAGCTCCTGTATGTGCTGATGAGCTGTTCCATTCAGTGCCTTGTATGTGTATACCAGAATTTTGTACTGCGACTTGTATCGTACAGGTAACCAGTGCAACGAATAGAGCACAGGTGTGATGTGCTCTCTCTTTCGAGTACGAGTAACTAGCCCTGCTGCAGTGTTCTGGACCCTCTGCAGACGACTAGTTAGTTTGTCAGATATACCACACAGCAAGGCGTTACCATAATCCAACCGAGAGGTAACAAGTGAATGCCCCAAAATCTTGCATGCATCTGCAGTAAAAAAAACTGCCGAATACAGCCGATGTTCCTGATCTGGTAGTAACAGGATTTGGCAATAGCGTTCACTTGTTTCTCCATGTTCAGTGAACTATCAAAGTATACCCCTAGGTTTTTATAAGCTTGAACAGTCTCAATAGTTCTGGTACCGACCTTGAGCTGGCGAGCCATTATTTGCTGACACTTTGGGGAAAAGACGATTTGTTCCGTATTTTCCTGATTAAGCTTACGCATGTTGGCGTTCAACCAGATACTGATCTCTGTAAGACAAACTTCCAGACTTTCTGAGACGGTATTCCAACTGTCCTGTGGTTTGATGAAAATATACATTTGTGTGTCATCGGCATAGCAATGATAGCGAAGGCTAGGGCGACGACAAATTTCTCCAATCGGTTTGGAGTACATACAATATTTTGTGGTCCTAACACCGACCCTTGAGGAACCCCGAAATCTAGTACTTTGTCATGTGAGGTGGAAGATCCGATGGCAACACAGTGACGTCGTTCACTCAGGTAAGACTGAAACCAGCATAGTGCGGTATCAGTCACTCCATAAGAGTATTCCAGACGTTTATCAAGTATGCCATGGTCGATGACGTCAAATGCAGCAGACAAGTCCAGCATGAAACGCACAGCTCTTCACTTGTTATCCAATGCAGAAGCTATATCATTATGTTTACGTAGGAGGGCCGTCTCAGTAGAGTGTCCCATGCGGTAGGCCGATTGCTTGTTGTCATCGATACTGTTTGCATGGAGATGAACATCTAAACACCGGGACACAACCTTCTCCAAGATCTTAGACAGAAGAGGCAGATTTGAAACTGGGCGGTAGTTTTTCAACTCCTCCTTGTCCATTCCAGGCTTTTTTAACAATGGTCTTACATGTGCCTTCTTGAAACATAATGGAACCTTTGACTCAGCCAATGATTTGTTCATGATTGAGGTAATCAAAGGAAGCAGTGCTTCAAGACATTGCTTTAATAGGTCTGTAGGCAATGGATCAAGCTCACAGGACTTTGATTGCGAGGTCATGATAATGTTGCGCAACTCGTCCTGGGTTGTTGGTGAGAGTTTTGCCAAAAACAATATAACAATATAACAATATCTTCTTTAAGACATGGTATTTTTCGAAACAATGATTCCTGCATTTAGAATGACTTTCTAAATTTGCTCTTAGAGATGCTATTTTCTCAGACATTGTTATGTTATACAGAGGCTGTTTTCTAACGAAATATGCAAGACAAATTATTGTCGCATGTGCTATATATATTAATGTCACCCTGGTAAAATGCTAGCCGCTTCCTACCGACTCGGCTAGAGAGTTATTCTTTGGCTCATTTGGTAGAGCGTAAGACTAGTTAGCCAGAGGTTCCAGGTTCGACTCCTAGAGAAGGCATTGGAAAATAATCACCTGTTACATTGCGCCCACGAAGGGACTCGGGTAAAATTGACAAATATACTCAGCGCTACTTTCACAAGAGTCGGTATGACCCATGGAAAAAAATCGGGACGAGTTCTTTCCTGGAGAATTTCTCTTAAGCATATTTGATAGAGCGTAAAACTAGTAAGCCAGAGGTCCCGGGTTTGACTCCTAGCGGAGGCATTGTAAAAATAATGACTTCTGTTACATGATAGTATCAAGTATTAAGAATTCCTGTTCCAATGCACTGTTTTTTTCGTATTTATATAGTACCTTCCCAATAATTTCGTTTTGATATAACTGTAGCACAGTTGGGCCAGGACGCTTCCGATGACTAGATAGCTCAGTAGGTTAGGGTCACAATATAACAAGTCCATGGTTTTAATCCCTGTCTAGCTCCATTGCATTTTTTATACTTAAAACACCGTTGTTGATTATAGTTTTTTTTATATCACCTTTGTTACTTTTCATAAAAGTCCTTAAGTTATGGTTTTTGGCTGTAGTACAGATATCCTTAACATAATGTTGCCCGAGATAGTGTATATGTTCGAGATAAATACGTGACAGAGAATGAACGAAAAACAAAGTTTCTGAGAAACATGTTTCCTCAGGCGTGAGGACATTCTTTGTACTAATGCGCGGGCTTCAAACACATCACAATGCTAGACTTGCAATGATAGCCCACAGATAGAGGAGAGAATGAAAACGTGCAAGAGAAGTTGCATCACATCATCAGTGAATCACGGATAGCAATGAAATTGTTTTGCTTTAAGTGGTCAAAAACACGCTCTTTATTTTTATTGTGTGTGTACATAGAAGAAGGTGCATTGCACTGTAGGCCTACAAACCGGTTTGCATGTTGGACAGGATTGTGATGTGTATTGCCTGTTTTGATTTTATTACTTTTGTTGATCGCAGTTATCCATTAGCTTACTTTACGTATCCTTTTTTTCACATCATTGTACTGCTTTATTTCCTGTTAAAAAGTGCAAGCTGTAAGTACATTGAATGTTGCTTCTTCCTGGTGGAGAAACGTTCGTATCATTTGAAGGAAACCACAGGGTTTGTAAAGTTTCATGTCGAAAACGTTGATGGTTTCAACAGTGATGGATGTCACACTTTCCTAGTTCCCAGCGTTACGTTATCTTAATGATCACATAAATTCCATAAACAGTAGTCTCTGTCAACTTGATTGTGGTTGTTTTTCGTCAGCTGAAATAATGGTTTTATCTTAATCCTACCGCTTTCGTTTTAACTGTTTAATTACCAATATACCTAACCAGACAAACCTTAGACGTTTTAGTACTGTTAAGTGCTGGTACTTACCACAGCAAAAATGGCGAAAACTGTTATTCCCTTTGGTGAAGCCTTCGCTTGTGATGCGTTGCTATAGAGATCGCAATTGTAGGCGTATACCTGTATCTGAACAGAAAAGACAGGGACGTGATTAAGTAATGTATGTCTTGTTACATGACAGATTTTCTTTTAGTTTCTGTTATGTACTAGCTCATGTTCATGCTATATTGTGCTAAATAAAAAAAATCCTCTCTTCAATCTACCATTAAATATGCATTTTATTGAATATATAACATATGCAAACTTTGGATATATTTATATTTATCATATGAAACCGTATTATGCAGTGTCATAAAGCCATCACATATGGTTATGTAACGGGTAATATCACTCCGGAAAGGACGACACAATAGAATTGGAACAATCAATGTGACGTCACGTCATTGTGAAGCGGATGCAATTTTCATCGTTTCTGAGGCGGCCAAGTGCAAAATATTCGTTTCAGATCACAACTTTCCAGTTTTCTTTGTATTATTTGGTAAATAGAATCTATCATTCGTTTCCCTTCATATTAGATTTATGATATAAGTGTTGGATTTTTCATATTTGCGAGCCTCCTAGCCAGAGGCTCGCAAACATGAAATATCCAACACTTGTAACATAGATCTTATATGAAGGGAAACTGATGACAGGTCCTAAACGTATGGCATGCTTCAATTTTATCTAAACAGTCAGTATAAGCAATAGACTATACACAAGTATATATTTATACTCACAAACTATTCATTCTTTTTGTATAGGGGTGTTTTGGGTGGGGCGGGTAGGTTTGGTTTGACAAGGGTGTTGCTAGTTAGAGTTATTGCATGTTTAGAGCACTTAATATCATACAAGTTGTATACTAATTAAAATACTTGATTATTTAGTAAATTAGAATTTAACGAAACTGAGATGTGCCAATACAAAGCAATGGGTTATATCAGGATCAATTTACCGTTAACAGTTAATATGGACGTAAATAGACGTACGATTATATATATATACATATATTAATGAATAATGCATTTTGATAACCGCTTAGTATTTTATTAGATTTTGTATTCATATTCTACTGTCTACACGATATCTTAATACGCATAGTGTTGTCCATACGTCAAATGTATACAATGGGTATATGATGGTAGATGATGATGAAACTTCTTCAGTTGTTTGGACAAGATGTCTGGCGCGTTTGCCAACAGTTAGAACACGGTGTGTTAATAGGTAATTATTTGATATTTTGCGTGCAATGATGTAGATATTAATGATCTTAAATAGTTTATTGACCTCATTTATTTGTTTTTATCATTAATCCACGCCCTTTATGGTGATAGCTGTTTCTATTAGTACATAACGATCAACGCCATAGTCTATAATGCTTATATGAATCTCGAACATTATTTCTAAAATGAAGCCAGACTGAAGCTGTGCGTATCTGGTCGAAGTTATTGTCGAGCATAGCATGGATAATATATTGGTAGTGCTGCGTGATGAAATAGCAAGTAAGTATTGGAAAAAAGACATATTGCATTAAGTGACAGATAAAGGAAAGACGTTGCTGCCTTATAAATGTTAACTAAGACTCCCAATATATGGCATGTTAAAACAATGTTCCGAAACGTCATTGTCTTCAAGGTAGATATTTTGAATGATTACATCACAGTCAGTCTGTTTTGTATACATTCTAAATAGTAATACAAAACACGACATAACTGCAAAGCAAGGCCACTGTAACTGACAACCATAACGCAATACATTTGATATATCCTCTGTTTTATCTTTTATATGTGTTTCTTGCAAAACAATTATGATATACGCGAACTCAATTATTGTTAGATTCACATAACAGTAATTACACTACCTTTTTTCCGGTGATAAACTGTCCGATACAACTGCTATTATATCTATCTGAACGCTTTTGCCTATTTTTGGGTAATGCAATAAAATACCTCCATCAAAATTAAGTCAGAAGGTTGTTGAGTAGTGCCATTGATGGCGCGCTCGCCCTTCACAAAGGGTCAGACGTGAAAAGGGTATTGGGTCACGAGGGTTATCTCCTTGTTCTCCTAATTAATATAATAAGTTGAAATAACTTGTTACATAATTGTTGTAAAATAAATAAAGTTTATATTAAAAAAAGTCAGAAGAAGAATCTAAATAAAAAAAAGATGAGTTGTTTCCCCCCGGTAACCTGGTCTTCACTGTAAAGCTGGTTTATCGCAGGGCATTTCCAACAATGAATTGTTTGCTAAATAAGCAAATAAAAACGCAAAATCAAAAAGATAGTTTATATTCTAAACATTTGCTTAATCATGTTACTGTAAACTCCCTGCTTTAGGCATTTGAAGGAGAGTTTGAGACTATTAACCCATTAATCAAGGAATATCCGGGGATTGAACGTTACTTTAAATCTTCAATTGCTCATGTTTGACAACTGTATTGTGACATTCAGCTATTATTTAAAAACGAGGAGACATAAAATGTGCGAACATTACCGCCATCAAGTGCATTTCGATTCTAAAAAAGTTGAGCTTCTACCAATAGCAACGGATGTAATTCTATGTAGGCTTCAAAGCTCCGACTCAAAACCCCAATAAACAACGAAGCATGGAAATACAGCGTGACATTCTAGACACTAAAATGTACATTCTGAGAAGAAATTTACGTATTTCAAAGGCAATGTAAATCAATCCATTGTTATCTTTAGCGTGTTACACGTTCGAAAGTGTTTATTAAATATGCATTGATTTTGTTTTTATTTCTGTCGCAGTGTATGAACTTTCTAACACGTGTATACGTATTTCTAAATTGCTGTGACATTGATGGGAAGCTTCAGAAGTAAGACTGAGGGCATTGTTCATATTTAGTCGCAATAAATATCAACATTCGACGTTACTCCTGGTGGTATGATTAAAAACTGAACCTGACAGGCATTTGAAAGGTTTTCCAATTCGTTCCGAAATTTTCTGACAAAGTCGACAAGGAACTTGTAGTGTTTTATCGGATATTGAGCCATCATGTCATCAATTTAACCGGAAAAGGAATGAACGAAGAAATTATGGTCTATGCAAATAATGGTATGAGATATGACCTCCAAAGTTATACCACAACATAAACCTGACTAGAATAGACTTCACTGCCTTCTTGTCTACACCATCCACAGTTCATCATTCATATTGCAAGGAAACTGCGTTAGTAATTGTCAAAACAAGGCATTTAATTACTATGGAATTTAACCAATTTCCAAATGTCTATAATTATTTTAATAATGGATTTGAATGAAATTCCAGCTATTGTTTTGAATTGAGCAATTTGATGCGAGGGGTCTTCTAGATGTTTGTCTGATGATAAGGAGTAGGACATACTTCATACAATTATTCTTTTCATTCGTGTTTACTATTATTGTTTAATTTCATCTGTTTGAACGTTTATGAATCGTTAAATATAGGAAGGTAAAATGAATTCAAAATGATACGGAAAGAACTATTTATAGAGTATATCACTAAAATCTGCTATAATAGTGTTAGACATTATTATTTCTGAGAGTTCATAAACCTAATCACTCTTAAACGCACATGTTTATATCATATCGCGGATGAATATCTGCAATGTTGTAGTGAGAAGCCAAAGAGCACTAATCTATAAACAACAGTATTCCGCTGTTCCGGATTCCGACCAATCAAAACAAATGAAGGTGTTAATCAACCAGCTGATTAACACTTATGATTAACCAACACTTAAGCTGTTTAATGGATGTTCTGTGAGTTGATTAACACTTATGATTAACCAACTCTCAAGCTGTTTAATGGATGTTCTGGGAGCTGTTTAACAAGAACAATTGTGTCGTTGTGATCCTGATACAAAGTCATGAAGGAGTTTACAATTCAGTGAAGGCTAACCTGACGGCATAGGATTGTGATGAGGGTGCAGTAGGGGTTTAATTTAGGAGTTGCTATAATTATAAGGACCAAAATAGTTTGCTGTTCTGCATATGAATTAGACGTCTGTGGTAGCAACAAATCTAATTTTGAACGAATGACAGCTTTGGCATCTATTTTTAAACTTTCAAATGTCTGCTTGTAGGATTTTTTGCTTTTTCATTAAGCTTTCCTTGGAATTTTGAATGAAGCTGATTGCATCACCGCTATGATTGGTCTGACTGATAAAATAAATACGAATTCACAGATGTGCCTCCTGAAAAGTTATTAACATTTTAGTTTTGCATCTTGAATATTGATATTAATATAGAAATCCATGTGCTGATTCAAATCCTATTGTAAGCTACTTGTTCATAATTGTAAAATGGTATGTGTAATAGGAATGTGAATTGAAAATAACATATATTTCAAAGAGACAGATTTCGAAGAGAGCGTACAAAAATGTATTGACCTTTCCCTTTGTGGATTAGCGCATCAAAACAAAATGGTTACAACGTATTGAATTGTTCCTGAAGGGATAACGATATGAAACCAAAATAGGCTTAGGTTTTCCTTCAAATCGAAATATATGTTGAGATTTTCTTTGGTGGTTACGAAAATCCAATCGAAAAAGATATAGAGTTTCGCTTTTACGGATTACGAAAAGAAAAAGAAAAATATATTGGTTTTACTCATTACATATTCTAAAATCAAACATATATATGTATTAGAAATTTCCTCCTTTCGTCCACAACCATTGTAGGTTTCCTCATTTCTGACTCGTTGGGTAAACCTGCTAGGAATTGGTAAACATATTTCGTTACCCACTACTCGTTACTTTGACGTCATTTTCTAACCGTCGTTTTTCTCATTTTGATGTCGGATAACAATGCTTTGACGTCATCTTCCATTGTAACGTCATAGCTCATTGCAATAAGTTTCCAGATTGGAAACAGGAATAATGTATTCATAAAAGAACCATAACATTTTCTACATATAATATTGGAACGTAGTGGGAGCAGAAGGTCCCTACACTCGTGATGGTTGGTTAGCTTCTTAATAGAAGTCTCGTTAGGTGATTTTTCAAATTGAGAAAGACACTCGGTAAACCTTAAATCTTTAAACAATTTAAAAATTCGAGTTAGATAAACATGTTAACCAACTACCATTCTTTTTTTACTCTATTTACATATTACTGAAGAAAATTTGAAACAGATATTGGGTTTTGCGACACAAACCGAAATAGATAGCTAGTTTGCCCGTTAGGTACTGGCACATCAAACCACAATAACTATTAGATTTTCTCCTTGCGGGTTACTAAATCAAGCTAATATTGATACTTCTGCGAGTTTTAGCAAATGTTATTATCTATTTTGTTCATTTAAATCGTTCGAGTTATCAGGTCCATCCTATTGGTTCGAAATTTGTCATCAGGCTCGTCTAAAATGCCCGAATGCTCGAAATTGTTGGAATCGTTGGGTCCATCTTAAATGTTCAAGCAATTTTGTTGATCTAAAATGTTCGAATAATCATAATGTTCCAGTGGTGTAATCAAACTTTGAGGGATTATACAATTTGGGCCACAGTTATATGTTCGAATTAGGAGAGGAATTCGGGATAACTGAGATCGAATTAACGAGATCCTACCTCAGCCGGTAACTGTTGTCCATCGATGGTATGTTCTGACCCCATATTCTCCTCGCGACCGTAGTGAATTTTGACCTGGTAGATGTGGTAGTTGTATTGGAGAGGACCCATGGAGGCGTTCAGTAGTTTGATATAGGCGTCGTCTATGTGTAGCGTTATATCGTGTCCCGTATTCGTTAAGTTGCCTGTAATCTGATTTCATGTGAAAAAGTTCACACAAACAAAAACACATTTAATGACACGAAATACCTGTTTTTACATAACCTGGTATATCATTGAGCAACAAAAACACAATTAATGACACGAAATACCTGTTTTTATATAACCTGGTATATCATTGAGCAACAAAAACACATTTAATGACACGAAATCCCTGTTTTTATATAACCTGGTATATTATTGAGCAACAAAAAATAATTAAAGATCCAAATCGGTATCATTTATTAATTCGGAAATAATGTTTATATTGATTCTTTTCATTGCCATGGAAATTTTCAGAATAGTAAATTCTACTTTCGAATTTAATGAAATATTCTAAGACAGTGCGATTTCTATTGTAACATTTCAACGAGATTTCTCATTTGTGTGTATTGTCAGGTCGTACATGGTAGAATACATAGCTCTGAACACATCCAATATAGATGACACGTACCAAGTGTTTCCAAACAATTGAAATTCAAAAGTTGCACACTAATCAACAAATCAATACAAGAGATGAAAAATACGAATTTCTTTACATAATCTGTAAATGCAATACTTTAGACACTTACCATCACAATTATTACTGTAAGTAATTACGATGCTTTTGAATCAAAAAGCAATGGTAAACCATGAAGTTATTAATGATATAATTCTCATACAGGTCAAAATGTAACTACAAATACTGAATGGTTTCCAATGACGATTGTAAATAGTGTGAATGTCATTTCATTTCAGGAAATTCCAAATGTATATATAACCCAATTCATGCATCTTTGATGAATGCATGTAACTATTTACTTTGCCCATACTTTCCATTTCTGAAAACAGTTCAAAGCTTTAATGAAATGTCATTGTCTTAATAAGGTTTAAACTCTCCGTCCCTATCGTACGATAGTTCCATACGTAAAGTTAAGGTTTTCTCTAAGGTTAATCAACTCCTACAGGGAAATTAACATCCTCGTTCAGACAAAATTAATGTTTTCCTTAATGAAGGTTAATATAATTACTTAAAGAGAAATTAATACATTCGTTAAGGTGAATTTAATGCCCTAGTTAAGGTTGTATCGGTATATTATTTGAGGTGAAATTGCTACCTTAATTAAAGAAAATTGAATCCCTTAGTTAAGAGGAAATTCATAGCTTTTTTAAGGTATTTCGTAAAATGACAGCCTGGTCATTGATGTTATTTGATCATGTAGTTTTAATCAATCAGGTAATTGTAAAACATTGTAAATGATTATAACAACTTTAATAGAAATCAATGATGTCAACATGTGTTCAAAGACTGACACTGCATGTATTTTTAATCATTCGTTTGTTAATTAGGAATCTCTTACTGAAGCAGATAATGACATATTAGCTTTCCAATAAGGCAAGCGGGAAGCAAATGGCTGCTCAAATAAAAAACTGAAGGAAGAAAATAAAGGGCAAAGTTACAGACCAGAGTTTTATGAATTCTCCCTACTCATATGGGAGTTACGGTTGATTATAGACAAGAGCCTATAAAGCTGCTAGCTTGTTTGAAAAGAAACATGATGAGTTTGCTTTGACTGTGTGTTACAGTATGTGTGAGCTGTTTGTGTGCCCCCTACATGTTCATTGAATGACAGAACATGACTGGAGTGTATTGAATCAACATTAACAAATCCATTTATTGTCACGATTGCACAGTTGAACTACTTTTTGTTTTGTTTTTGGTTGCTGGGTTTAAACATCAGACTAAACAAGGTTAATGCATTGGTTAATTTTGCAGCGTTTATCGGAGATAAAGTAATCTGATTTAAACTCAAAGTCATTGCATGTCTAGTTAGTTGGCAATGACTTAGATCGTTGGTTACCTGTCTGTCCGTCTGTCTGTCTTACCTTTGTTTGTATGTCCTGCCGACAGTAATCGCTGATATTCGAATCGACTTTGAGTTTTAACGGTATCTTTGTTTGTTGATTTGTTTGTTTATTTTTCCTTTTTTGTTATCGTTTCTATCTAACATTTATTATTTCAACACATCGGTCCAATAACGGTACTTGTAACATTGTCTAAACTACGTATTGTAAATATCGAACGTTCTTATGATGCAAACAATACATATATATAATACATATATATTAAATCAATTCCTATTTGTTACTTTTGTTTTTGTCTGGTAGAGTCATTATGTAGAAAGCCACAGGTCTTAGCCAGACTTTGATTAATTAATCACGTTTTTGTCACGCAACGCGCAATACCGTACCTTTTTGGTTTGTATATTCAGGTAGGTGAGGGAGGGGTCGTAGAGGAGGTCACGTGGTTGTATATCTATTGGAGACTGAAACTTGCCGTCCCGACACATGATCCAGGCAGGATTGAGGCCCCAGTATAGCGGACCTGTAGGTAAAATAGATCTATATAATACAAATAATAGTTTTTTAAAGATCCCCGTTTTACTGTCAAGAAACGTAACACTGTATTGGAAACATTTTTCTGAACGACTTTAACTTTTACAGATTATTTTCAAAAATATGCCTTGCAATATTTCCATGTACAAGTAATAAAGACGAGATAAACAACAGCTGTGTCATGAGTGTAACACTACTACCTTACCAGAACAGGACTCGAACCACAGATCATGACACTGTCTCTCTATCCGACTAAGCTATCTGGTCAACTACAATATCTGACTCAGTAGCCCAACACTTGTATCAAAAACTATTTCTAAAGGGAGGTTACTCTATTGACAAAAAAACTACAGTGGAATTCTCTAGCGTTTTGGAAGAATTGGCACAAGGGTCCTTAATTGCATTATATTCCGATCATGTAAGGTCTTATCTTAGGTGGACACCTTAAGCCAATCTGGAGTAATATTTTGATATAATGAAGAACTTAAACATATTAGGCTAGATTATACAATGTTTTAGTGAAACCAGCAATTAGCAATCGATAAGTGTCACAGCGTTTATGTCCGGGTGTAGGTTAGGGGGTCCCGCATGTAAAATACAGAACTATGTGAGGGTCGAGCATATACGTCACACTGGAGTGCAGCGTAAAGGTCATATTGAGGATTATTGCTCTTTCGGTAATAGTGCTTGTTTCGTTTTGGCGGTAAATATGCACAAAACTCCCTTTAAGAGTATGAAACATATATCACTGTACGTATAATTCAGACACTGAGATACAATCAAAAGTTCCTTCAGGAAAAATCATTTGTGAAATTGCTTTTCGATAGTACAGCTTTTTTTGACACTTAGTGGTACATGTGTAGTAACGGAGTGTGTCTATGTACATGTTCTAAATTTACTTACAGCGTAAAGAACATTTTTTTTTTTTTTAACCTCTGCTGCTAAATCATGGCTTTGGTTTTAGAATGAGAAATACATTAGTTCGTTCTGGTAACAATTGAACTTATTACACCCACTGAAAACGGAAAGGAAACACTGTGCAAAGGTCGATTTCGGTGGTGCATAGAAATATAATATAAGTCGAACATACGAAACAAGATAATAGATTTTGTAGCAAAATATACATGCCATGTTTAAACCTAAGGCAGGCTTACCTTAGGTACACTGGTAATGGTAGATATTGAAAGTTAGAGGCTATGTAGATAATATATTCGAGATAGTTTTATAATTTATCCTGAACGTCATAACAATAAGTCAGAACAGGTAAAGCCAAGTAATAAAAACTGGTCGGTAGGTGGCATTTTATGGTATTCCCGCTTCAGAACAACGACTTTTGTGGATTTGAGAAAAAGAAACATTTTTGCAGTCAAATGTTTTCCAAATATTTCTTAGTTTCGCAAATCCTGAAATCAGATTTGAAAATTCATACTTTGACCATGGTGTGTCACCATCTTCGATTGCAAAGCTAGGAAAGGTACAGAGGCGGTATGTCACAAGATTAGGAAGTGCATATATATTGAAATGGGTCTTAGTGTCCAAGTCTTTGTTGCAGTGTCATGAAGACAGTGTGTGGTAAGCGAAAACATTTTTTCTTTCTCCAATAGGTGATGGAGAAGATATGCGGACAATATCATAAAAGCCTGATACCGGTGGTACATGTATTTAGAAATCCAGATATAACGATATACAAGGCTGAACCAAATAACTGAGTGATCAAATATAAGAAAAATAGTAACAGTTGCGCTTAGCTGGTGTTCATTGCGAATATTAAATGTTTGCTTCTAAGCAGATTTTGCTTCAGCATATGTCTACTTGATATGTTTGTTTAGTGACTCATTTAAATGGTAGTTCAACATTTGACAATGCATGTAGCTTAACGATATTGTTCAAACGTCTCTTTGATATTTAGCTTATATTCCCATCAGACATCATGTATCCTTGGGCGAATCACATTCTGACCTTCAGAAATCTGGCTCTAGTCCGAGTCTCGACAGTGTTAGATACATACACATGTGTATTGTATACAGCAGATGAAGCGGATGGATGAACGGTCAGTGCGGTTCCGTGTAGACATTATAGATCGCCTGTTATATTAGAAACATAATTTCTATGATACTTTGATAGAAAGGAAGAATTTTCACATTGATCGAATTTTCATGCCAAGAGATCTATACTTGTGTTATAGATGTACTATATGTAACTTTGTAAACGCGGTTCTCAGCATTGTCTTCCGAGCTTACTACACAGCGCTGCGTAGGTGGGTTAAATCGCTATCACAGACATCACAGAAAAAACATTCGTCCTTTGGGTAATGTATTTACCCTATGAGACAGGTTTCAAATGTCTTCTCAAAAATGAAATCAGACAGGTTGAAACTGTCATGGTACCTTGCAGCATTGTAGTCATATTTACCAACAATCAGTCACGCTATGAAACGTTGTGCTAGTAGCAAATTACAGTCACATCATTCACATTGCTATCTAAACAATTACTTCGTTGTGGCAATGCCATTATAGCAGAAATAATGCCAAGTCGTAGTCATAATAACCGTATCGTGTCCATAGTAACAATGTACATTTCATTGTAACCACTTAGTTTCCATGCAACTAAAGTCATTGTTATACAATGTAGTAATGTTGCTTCCATTGTAACTAAGTTTAGACTAAGTAACCAAGCAGCTACATTATAACCACGCCGTAATTTTAATAATCATGTAGTTTCCATAGTAACCACGTCATAGTAATAATTTCTACGTCGGAAAAAGAATAACGTGCTGTTTTTATATGAAAAACTTTGTAGTCAATTTATCAATGTATGTCGTTGTCATAATAACCCTTTCGTTACTGTTTTGACTACATAACTGCCATAGCTATTATGATGTAGCTATAGTAGTTACGTTGTAGTGTTAAATATAAGTGATATCACCTCACTGTCATGGTTATCACTTTGATGTATTAGTACTCACCTCACTGTCATGGTTATCACTTTGATGTATTAGTACTCACCTCGCTGTCATGGTTATCACTTTGATGTATTAGTACTCACCTCACTGTCATGATTATCACTTTGATGTATTAGTACTCACCTCGCTGTCATGGTTATCACTTTGGTGTATTAGTACTCACCTCGCTGTCATGCTAATTCGGTCATTTTGTTGGGAACATAACAAAAAATCTAAGCACGTGGGATTTGCAATGCACTAGTTTAGTAGCTCTGTCACTTCAACAGGGTTATAATGTGCTGCCGGGCACGGAACAGGAACGTAAAAAAACATAAGAACAAATATCATATAAAATCTCCGGGAATCAGATTTGTGGAGTACCTCGATTCTCTCGCAAGAAGCATCAAACGGTCATTGCATGTATCTAGAGGCCTCATAAATGTACAGCTGGTAGTATCGATTCTTAGGCATTTAAACTAGTATACAGCCCGTATAGTCACGAACAGTAATATGTGGTACATTTATATGAGGCCATTTTAATTCCTGTACCTAGTGCCCTATATAGTAACGTATTCATAGCTAGAGAGCATGGGAATCTACAATCAAGATATTAAAACGATTGCGGCTGACCGATTTCACACCGTGAACTTGAGGTGATCACGCCGGTCATGTTTACATCTTTCTTTTAGCGTCCGTGCGCATTGTAATTAAGACCAGGTGAATACGCCTATGGGAAATAACGTCTAGTTCTAGTAAGGGACGGGAGACAGCATCAAAGAAATGCTTTCGATTAATGTATTAAATAATTTCAAACTGGTGATAAATATTAACGAATGTTATATGATTTCCATAATAGCTTCCGTTTCCTATGATCATCTGATTAATGAGTTGTATTGTAAGGAGAGTTTGTCATGACGTGTAGGATACGGACCAGTTCTAGGTATTAGTCTTTAACCCATTCACACCTAAAGTCACATTTGAACGTTCAAAACAAAGATTGGGCGGGTCTAGTTTAACAATGTATGTTTGAATGAGTTAAGGTAATAGGATTGTGTCGCCATTTCTCAGTAGAATTTATTCAAAATTTGTAGTTATATTGGTTTGAAGTAAAGAAAATTTTCTACCACAAAAAAAAAGCTTGTCAGAATTTTAAGGATTTTAAATGGTAATATATGTAAAAAGGTGTGAATTTTGAAAAAATATTGAAACACACAATTTTTTGCAAAATAATGTCAATAAAAATGATGCTAACATAGATTAGTATTGCATTAATGTATATCAATTTCATAAATGCTGAAATTGTGTAAAATTAATTATCTATAAACGATTAAAAATTGACATTTTATAATAAAACCATATACACATAGCAATTGCATGCGAGAGTTATCGTTCTTGAAAAACTTCACAGTAGTGAAATTGGTAGCCGGTTTCCTGAAGTACAGAAAAATGGACACATGCGACTCATTGATTAAAAAACAACTGTATTAATGCCTGGATTGGTTTGCAATACTTTAATATTGAAAGAACACACTGTTCTGACAATAATAAGCATATAATATTCATCACTTTAATATTAAACATTAGATTATGCGGAAATTGTGATACTGTCTCCACACATTGGATTTTCAACTAGGGATGTACTTCCTATTTCCGTTTAGCAATACACTCCTATGACCTTAAGTATTTCACATAACAGAATGTAGGTCACACGTGTTAACTTGTGATGGAGAAGTGAACTTTGGGAGAAACTGCACAGTGACATCCCAACGAAATGGAAAATAGTTTTGAAAGTGGTCTCTTGCGATAGAGTATTTAAAAATTCGAAGAAAAAAATCACCTATTTAAAAATTTAGCGTGTCGATGCATTAGGCCCAACAATGTAACCTTTTGCTGCACTATATGACCATTTCGTCGAATTTGGACTCACCAGAGGTGCTTGATGTCAAAAGAATGGAAACCTTCGTCTTAAATGTTCAGCAGCGTTTATACGACTTCCGGGTACAAAATGACTCTCTTAAACAAGTCGTTAATGTAAATAGTGTCGAGTT